AATCTCCAGTGCGCTTTCCCGAGGGATGCGCGCGCTCGTCACACGAATAAAGTTAGTTTGGCAAACACGGGTCTCCGGGGGCGCGCGCGTGGAAAACAAGCGGCTGTAATTAGTCTGTCAAGTGTGAGATATTAATGAAATCCGACACTGTCGAGCTACCATTATATAATCGCGTTCACAGTTAAAGTGATGAGAAATTATATTTAAAATGGGGATTTGTTTTTTTTTATTATTATACTGTTGTTGTAGAGAACTAGTAGGCCTATATGAAAGGTGTATTGTCTATATAGTCTTTTTATGGCTTTAGCATTTCATATAATGTTATAAAAATAATGACAGCTGAAACTTAATGCACAAAACTAGGCAAAATGCACAAACCTAACCCCAACTGCATCGACACTTGTAAAATTGAGGTAAAATTGGTGTTATATTCCAACATCCGTTCGGTGACAACACGGTCCCTATTGCTAACAGTGGAATATTCTGTCTAAAATTGCATGTAAATATGACTTCAAAACATCTTCTATTTATTTTGATAGTCATTTGCAGCTAATATGATTTCCGTATTTAGAATTTGCAAATAATATTTTTTTCTGAAATTTTATTATGAAGGTGAAATTCTGAATGTGCGAACTTTACCCCGATATTTGATACAGGAATTCCCCAAACAACAAACGAGATATTGACCCCAGTTCAAACCTTTTGCTCTTCATATGTTTAGGCCAATATGGTAAGAAATGTGGAAAATGTGTACATACAGTTAAAGTCAGAATTATTAGCCCCCCTGTTTATTTTTTCCCCAATTTCTGTTTAATGGAGTGAAGATTTCTTCAACATATTTCTAAACATAATAGTTTTAATAACTCATTTCTAATAACTGATTTATTTTATTTTTGCCATGATGACAGTAAATAATATTTGACTAAATATTTTTCAAGACACTTCTATACAGCTTAAAGTGACATTTAAATAGGTTAACTAGGCAGGCTAGGGTAAATAGGCAAGTTATTGTATAACAATGGTTATCAGAAAAAAAAAATTAGCTTAAAGCGGCTAATAATTTTGACCTTAATATTATTGTAAAATTATGAATTATAGACTTCAACTATAATTCATTATTTCATGTGACGGCAATCATGTTAGTTTTCCTTCTCCTTTCTGAGGCAAAATCCAATCTTAGTCAAACCAAATTAAATTTTCTAGTCATCTAAACTTAAATTAATCAAATGTACTAAAAACATTAAGTTAAACTTATTGACATTAAAATAAGTTAAATAACATCAAAACATTCATGATTTTTTGTCTTATTATTTTTACAATGTAGTCAACACTGTATGTCACCAACACTTAGTTTTCCATTAGATTGGCACCATCTTTGTCTGCTTTTAAATCTAAGTTAAAAACTTTCCTGTTTGACAACACAGGGATGGCTTTTATTTCATATTTTACTGGCTTTTGAACCGGTAAAAGCTTTCATTTTATTTTAGTATTTTATTCTTTGTATTTTTAACTCATTTTTGTCTTTGACTTGACTCTTGTTGCTTGTGGTTTTAAAATATTGTTAAGCACATTGGTCCAATAGTTTTTTTTATTGTGCTATAAATAACTGCCTATTGTCATAAATATTTATTTACTTTGGCCACACTTTACAATAAGGTTCAATTAGTTAATATATTTACAAACATTAATAATCAATAAACAATACATTTCTTACAACATTTATTCATCTTTGTTAATGTTGTGATGAAGAATTTGCATTTGCAGATATCATTATGCTCACGGTGCATCACATAATACCAACAAGCAACATTTTTTGATTTTACTAATCCATTTTTGCAAGTTTGACATCAATAATTAAATCACTGATCCACATTAACTAATCAAGCCACATTGTAAAGTGTGACCTTCATTTTTAATCTATATTCAGTCTTTTTACTTCAAAATAGTTTCTATAAACTATCTCTTTGTAAATAATTTTGAAATTTGCTAGCAAACTTTGAGTGAAAATTATTTATATTACATTTTTAGGTGAAGAAACAATCACTGTAGCAATTTATCAAATTACATTAACACAAAAAAAGCCTCAATAAATAAAAACATTCTGTTAAGTAAAATAGCAACATGTAAACAGTGTCTAGAGCTTTATTTACTCACAAATTATAAACTGCCTTTCTGAAATACTGCACTAAAAAAATCCATTGGATTTTTTAAATGTAAGGGGTTTGAAACAATTGATATGGGCTGAAATTAAACAAACACATTTAATTTAGTAATGTTCAACTTAATTTGTTTGTTTAAATTCCACCCATATAAATAGTTTGCCTTAAAAAATGTAATAAATCCAATGAATAATTTTTTCAGGGTGGCAAATAAAATTTATTTCATCCCCAATTCAACACACAAAAAATCCTATTGATTAATTGATTAATATACTAACGTTACTTTTAAGACAAGTAAGGAACTTGGCACAAGCTGGTAGTCTGCTTTCTGTTTTGTAATTAAAAAGAAGAAATATTCTTCCTAAAATCTTATTTTGTGAACTGAAGTCCTAGTACAGTATATGACACAGGAGTAAACATGAGCTTTTCCTGTAGACACAATTAAGCTCTGGAGGATGATGAACTCTCGTGTCCAGGGAGAACAAACCTCCATCACTGGAACAAACAGTCAGAAACACACGTCCCGTGACAGAGGACGCACACCCAGACGAGCACACTTTCACGAAGATCCAGCAACAACTTGAACTTGATTTCTGTTTGATGTCCTCAGTAATGCCCACAAGATGGCAGTGATGTACTGGTAAGATTTAAAATATTCTGTAATCGTGCTTATTTACAATATAGACATTAGTTTTCACTCCTCAAGTGTGTTTAAACAATAAAAAATTACTTATTATCAAATTTAAAACAATTTTTTGCATCTGATTTAAACAATTACATTTCAGCTCAAAATGAAAATTAGGTTTTGTTAATTTGATTAAATTTATTCATATTAGCTTTGGTATTCAACTAATGTGTTCATCATTTTTTTGTTAAAGATTTATTTTGTGTGCTCACAAAACCAACATTTCAAAGCAGTTATATATTAAATTAAATTAAATTAAATTAAACTAAATTAAATTAAATTAAACTAAATTAAATTAAATTAAATTAAATTAAATTAAATTAAATTAAATTAAATTAAATTAAATTAAATTAAATTAAATTAAATTAAATTAAATTAAATTAAATTATGAGAAAAAAGTTGAACAGAAAACTTAAAAATACTTTTTTAGTTTGGTCAGTTTCACCATTGTTTTTATATTTTGTGAATCTCTAAACTTTAAAACAAAAATAGAAATTTACTTTATATTGATATTCAGTAATACTGCAATTTGTATATCATGTTTAGCTCAAGATTTATAACATGTATTTTGTGTGCTCATAAATCCAAAATATCAGTAGTTATAACTAAAATAAAATAAAATAAAATAAAATAAATTATTTTAGCTCTAGATTTGTAACATAAATGCTCACAAACCCCCTGATAATCTAAAGCAAATTGTTTGGAGGTTTTCTGTAAAAAGGAAAAAAAAGAAAAGAAATAAAATAAAATAAATTGCAGCAGAAATCTTGAAAGAAAATTAAGTTTGGTCAGCTTCGACATTGTTCTTATATTTTGTAATTTTTTTTACTTTAAAAATAAAAAATTGGTTAAATTTTTGGACAAACATTTTTGTTTTATACTCCAAGGCCTATAACATTTCCCCCCAACCGGACACAGAGCTTGCTATTTTTGGTGTTTCAGAACACTCCCTCACCCTTCCAAAACATCTCCAACAAGCCCTCACTCTAGGCAAGACTGTGGTCAAACAGCTAATACAAAAACACTGACTGGCACACTAACTTATGGGACTTTTTTGATGACTATATACTCTGTAACACTACATTTTGTATCTCCAACAGCTGAACCCACATATATGGCAATTCATATATATATATATATATATATATATATATATATATATATATATATATATATATATATATATATATATATATATATATATAATTTGTACATAATAATTTAATTCATTTATTTTGTGTGCTCATAAACCCCAAACAATCTAACGCAAATTGTTTGGAAAAATAAAATGAAATTTAATAAAATAAAATTTTATTAAATTTAATTAAATAATAAGTTTATTTAAATTGAATTACATTAAATTAAAAAAAGATTTAAAATAATAATAATAAAGAAGAAATAAAATAAAATTTAATTTAAATAAAAACATGTAAAAAAAATATTAAAATAATAATAATGATGATAATAAAATAAAATAAAATATAAAATATAATAAAATAAATGTCCAACAGAAATCAGTTTGGTCAGTTTGGACTTTGTTCTTAAATATGCCTCTACAGTTTATGATTTTGATTTTGTTTATTTTTTTACTTGATAGTTTGCTTTTATTACTGTTGCTGTAATTGTTTTTAGTTAACCAAAATATAATCCACATGCATGAGAGATTATTCAGAACAGCTGAACAGAAAAAACCTAGAGTGACTTTTTAATTGATTTACTATGATTTCCTTTGATATTCCAGTGAAGCTGCTTTAAAAACAAACTCCATTAATATTCAGCAAATGAAGGTTTATTAGAAATGCAAACTTTTCTAAGACTGTTTTTATTCAAGCATTTTGCTCAGACTGCATTAGGTTGGCTCAGAAATGCTACAGTATGTGGAAAGTGAACGCAGGTTGAGAGACAGTAAAAAGATTCACAGTTTGCTAAAGTTCTTGTTTCCTCATTACACATCTTACAGCAGGTAAAGGCACTCAGAAGCAGGACACTGTGTTTTCCCATCAGACTGAGCTGAGATTCAGGATTCAAAGAGATTTACAGCTTCATCACTCCAGATCATCGTGGTTCTGCGTCGACTCATTGATCACCTCAATAAAGAGAAGAGGAGAAAACAATCAGAATAAAACAGACTGGCTCTAAGATTAGATTAAATTCAT